AGTTTCTTAGATAATTTGATTCTGCAAAATAAGAGACAAACAGTCTTACACTAATGTTTAGTCTGATGTTCCTCATCCCTAATGCACCGTATTCGATAAGACTTGTACAACTAATTTTCATAATTTTTATTGTCAATGTTAATATATTAGATATGTTTGTAAAATTTTCCAATATATTATTGCCAAACTGTGTGGGAGCTATTCTAACCGCTATATTTGATTAATGACTGGTTTCACCTCTTAAGAACATTAATTTGGTTGTTTTTGCAAATATTGAATACTGCTATTGCCATATTGCTAACCAATTGTTTACACAACACAAAAAATTTCAAACAGTAAATGAAAAAAAACAATTTATAATGAGAATAGAGATTTATTTAATAATTTTAATATAAAAAATGTGTGCATTGCTGTTATATTATCAACCGTGCAGTCGATGTTGTAGGTCTAGTTCTATACTCATTTGATCAAAGTTTCCGATTCTTCTTTTTTGAGATCGACTGAATACTCCCGTTTATTAAGATCAACAACATAAGCATAGCATGCATCATCCACAATTTCAAACAAAGCATGAATCATATCGTTGCATTTTGTCTTGTACCATTTAGATACTAAGTTGCTGTGAACATTGGGTAGTATTTCTTTGAACTCATTTGTCTATCACCATGCTGCAGCACAAGTTTAAAAAAACAATGAATTTAATAAATATTTAAACGTGCTAGAAATAAAGTTGCATTATATTGCACAAAATTTGTATTACCCATCTCTGATGTCCTCCCATTCCAATCGCTCTTCATCTACAGAAAGCAAAGTGTCCTTTGCTTTGAGACTAAAACAACAACAACTAAAATTCATGACATCGATTATTGAATTCATGGCTTCTCTGATTTTTGTTCTCGTATGTATTTATATTGGTAACCTGTGGTCGATGTCTTTCAGAATCCGCTTCAAGTCTTCTTTCTTCAGGCCATTATCGAACCAATTAAGTAAAAGTGATATGAAAGTCTACAAACGTATGAAAGCTATATGACTATAATTGGGATTGAACTTATGTGCACATACAGTCTGAGAACAACTTAAATAAGAAGAGAAAACGAACATAAGGAAATCAAATAGACATGTCCTATTAAATGAATACAATGATTGAAGAACCCCAAAATATCAAAAGCCAACCGAGGTGATATGTATTGGCTCGAAACATTGCATTGGTTTAATAGATGATTACACCTGGAAAACCAACAGAGAAATACTAATAAATAAGTATTGATAAAAAAAAAATTGATCGATAATTTCAAAGGAAACATAATATATATTTTGTTAAATTAATAATAGTAAAGAAACAATGTTAATAACTGGATTGATCAATCAGTTGTTTCATACAGTGATTACAGTTTGATATTAGCATACAATTTGCTCACAATATTGTATTATAATAAATTTATTCAATTGATGACCAAGGGTTATAGTTCAATTAACAATAAATGTTTATAAAGATTACCAACTTAATTATATGAAACTGTAAGTTAAAGTAATTTTTTATTTTAATTTGGTTGATGGTTTTATATTTAGTTAAATAAAGTATTAAATCACTAACTACATTTTAGTATTTCATTCAACTTATGTTTGGCCAATTGACCTTATTCAATTAAAATATTCCACCTTATTTTTGCAATATCTAACAATAATGTTGTTCGATTAGTCCTAAAAAAATTATATTATTTTATTAAAAAGTACACCTGCTATTTCAAAAACATCGTCCAATCGTTTTCTACAGTCAGCGGATTAATAGTCATTTATGTTTCATTAATATATTCTTTTATGATTTCGTCTATTTAATGCATTTTCTATTTTTTTAAGTTCTGTTCATTCCATTCTCTATCGAACATGCTGTAGTGTAATCGTTCGGCTTTCTCTTACGTCAGTGCTGATTTTCTTTTGAAGAGGCTTGGAACTTTAGGTTGATGTCTTCTACATTGCCGATTCAGTTATTTTATATCACATCCCTCTTTTTAATACTACTCTTTGTTTTTGGTAGTAGTTTCATCTATTTGTTTGTGCAATTTATCGTTAAAATTTGTTTATTGTTATAGTATACAGTCGTATTTGATGGCCATTCCTATGAATCAAGTTATTTTATGCAATTATAAGACCATAAAAAAATGGGTTCAACGTTATAAAAAATGAAAACCTAGGTTTATGATTTTTTTTTTTTCTATTGATAAGAAATTAATACTTGAAGGGTCACAAAAAAAAAAAAAAAAAAAAAAAAAAAAATTGTTACATTTAGTTTTAAAGAGAATTTGTTGTTTCAGCAATTTACATGTTTGAGATAATGATGTTTTGTTTTGTTTTTTCTTTTTTTTTTCAACTATTTGCTTTTCTTCTTAATATATTTCAGTTTCATATTTGCTCTACTTTATTATGTAATCTTGGTAGAATGGAAAAAATGAATCAATCATCAAAGATGGTACAATCACAATCTAAGGTTAAAGAAAATGCAAGGAATCTATCTTCAAAAATTAAACGGAAGCAAGGTACTAGGGGTCCTAAGGCACTCTGTAAGACTTCAAGGAAGAGTTGTGGATAGTCACAATGATGACTTTCAACGTCTGATAGATTCGGTGGTTTATACAGACAGCAACCAAGATGACGAATTGCAATCATCTCAGCAGATGGAACAGGTTGAACCAAGTAACACAATTAAAATTTTGAAAGGAAAAGTTGACCACTTAATACAACTAATCAAAAATTAGCAAACCAAATACATAGATTTGTACTTCAAATCCCAAAAGAAGGTATAGAGAGTACAGTAGAATATCATTCGCTTTTTTGGATAACTTCAATTGTTATATCTATTTAAGTACTATTAATGATATTGTTTTCACTCAAACGCAGGTTGAAACCTTAACAAAAGAAAATCATCAGTTGGCTTTGAACTACAAAATGCATCTGGGAAACTTGAAGCAGTATGATTTCTGCACATTATTAATCAAATATGTTGTTGTATCACTTTTATAATTTTAAAAGGTTTTTATAGCAAAATAATATGTCTTTCAACAAACTATATGTTATATATGAAATTGGTGAAATGAATTTGAACACTTGAGAAGATCAGAAAAATTGTGTTTATTTTGTTTGCTTGCAAATAGAGAAATACACTGGATTATGTTTGGAATTGATGAACAAACGAAAGGACACAATCTTGCCAGCAAATTCAACAGAAGTTCAAGATGCAGTCAATGTATCCTCTCAACCTACACATGAGCAACAACCTCATCATGGAGGTAGACCTCCATCAGGCAAGAGAAAGAATATTCACAAATGAAGACCCAATTCGCTTGTGTGTTTAATCTATTGAATACGAGATGAACCCTTTATCAAAATTTCAATGTTGTTTCTTTTGGATTGCTTTTATAGTTTTTATGTCTACTTGAAAAGTGCTTGTAGTCACTTTTTTGCTATTTATTTCCTCTTTCCTCTCTTGTGATGCGCCTAACATGTTTGTGTAAGAATGGTCTAATTATATTTTTAGGATCATCACCTTGTACAATTGATATTATTTTTGCAGACATATCTTTGATATTCAAGGTCAGTATTTTGTAGTGAATCGTGTATGATATTTAATATCACTTGAATATTATCAAGATCAACTATTTAAACTTAAAATTTATACTAACCTTCCGTAATTTCTATAACTTATATTCATTTTCAAGTTTGACATTGACTGCTAAAACTTTTCTCACAGTATAGGATTCATATATTTCTTTCAAATCAATAAACCTTAGCCTAGTTTTGAAAACAAACGCCTATTCACACAGTTCATTCAAAGGCTTTGTTTGTTTAATAGTTGAGAACATGATAATCCAATTAATTTTTGGGCTACTATATCAAACATTATAAAAGTTACTTCCGCAATTCCGTCTGACATACTCATATCTACCTTTTACTTGTTATAACATTAATCAAACATCATTATAAATCATAATAAACTTAATAAACAATTATATAACTTATTTGAGGAGGTTTTGATTCCTTGTTGCAATTTTAAACAATAATGAAACTATGAATTAACTTTTGCTAATTTCTTTTGCAGTTAATAGTTATTATTTATTCATCTCCGTTTTCAAGGAAATATTCATGTACTTTACTAAAATTAAATCGAGAATGGTCCTATTGTTGAACGAACCATAAACATATGTTATACTTATTTTATTCATTTAAAATAGTATCAAAAAACTTAATAATTTGAAAACTCTAATTAATTAGAAATTTCATAGTTTCATTATTGTTTAAAAAAAAAATAATAAAGATTTTCAAATATAAAAGTATATCGAACTATTAATGTTGTGATAATTTATCTTAAAAAAATTGTATTTCCTCAATAATGTATTACTTGTCAATAAACTATAATTCAAACAAATCTGATCCTATAAAAAATATTGACATAAAATTCATCGCATTTATAAATACACAGATAAATACTTACATGAATTTCAAGGGACAGTATACATTTAATTCTTTCACAGTAACATCTATGAAGTAATTTACTGTCTGCTTCGATTCAAAATATCAAAACTAAACCATAACATTTTATACTAATTGTAATAAAGAATATGTCGAACCTAGAATTATACCTAATTATTAATGACCTTTTTGTATTTCTTTTGTTGTTATGTGTTATATAATTTGATGATGTTTCATATTCCAACCATACATTGTTCATAGAGTCAAATGTTCAATTTTGTTATTCCTGAGTAAAGGGTGTGATATTTTTTTTTTTTTTACGCGAAATAATTTGTTTATTGTTTTATTGAAATCTATGAATGTAGATGGATTGTGGTTTAATGTTATATTTATTAATGTTGGCATCCATCAACCAAGACAAAACATTTTCACAAATGAAGTCCCAATTACATTATATACTTAATCTATCAAATGTGACATGATCACTTTATCAAGTCTTCAACCTTTTTTTTAGGTTGCTTTTGTAACCCTTATTGCTACTTGAAATTAACATTCTCATCGTCACTTTCTTTATGCTTATTTCCTCGTTCTCTCTCTTTTGATGTGTCTAACATGTCTGTACAAGAATTGTCTATACTGTTTTTAGGATCATCACCTTGTACCCTTGCTACCATTTTTCTAGACATATCTTTGATTTTTGGTGTCAGTATTTCGCATTCAGTCATGTTTGATGTCGAGGATTGTGATCCATATTCTCCATTATTTGCCTGTTGTTTTTTATAAAGCATTGATATCACTCAATATTATGAAAATGAACTATTTAAGATTAAAAATTATACTGACCTTTTGCAATTCTCGCAACTTATATTCATCTTCAAGTTTCTCATCAATCACGAAAAGTTTCGTCATAGTGTAAGATTCATATCCTTCCTTCAGATCCATAACTCTCAACTGGATTTTGAAAACGAACATCTGTCCAAACAGCTCATTTAAAGCTTTTGGGATATTTTTTTGATCATTACCTTGTTTGTTCAATAGTTGAGAACATGATAACCCAACCAATCTCTGGGTCACTGTATCAAACAATATAAAAGTTGCTTCGACAGTTCCATCAGACACTTTCATCTCTACCTCGTACCTATTATAACATTAACTAAACATCATTATAAATCAATGTCTGAAATTGAATGTACTTGTCATTGCATTGACAATATGTAATTATAAACAGTAAAAAATAAACAATGATATACCTCATCTGAGGAGATTTCGATTCCTCGTTGCATTTGTCACAATATAAATAGGTATTAATACCAAGAATTTCCTTCTTGCAATAGGTGCAAGACTTGTAACACCAACCATATCTATCATCAACTTCAGTTATCTTGGCCTTAATTATGTACTCCATCACCTATTCAAATGTAATTTTTGTTCACAAACTATGTTATAATAATCAGTTTAACGTTTTAGTGAATACTGTGCCTCATCAACATTATGCCACACGAGATTGGTAACATGTTTCAGTGATGTTCTATTCTCAAACATTTCCTTCTCAATTGGAACTTGATTCAAAATTTTCTTTTGCAATTAAATTATGAGCAGAATTCCTTTTCTGAAATAAGAAAGAGTATATAAAATGTTAAATATGAATCTATCTGCGAAATTATTTGAAAATATTGTTTTTCAAACACATACTCTTTCTATAGAGAATGCACCTCCTCAATATCTAAATTTATATAAATTCTAGATGCCGAAGTTGTATTGAGATATAATCTTCCTATATGGAAAAAAAAAAAAAAACATAAATTACTTATAAAAAATATATCAATTTCATATAGTATATTTTTATTACCTTGGAAATCTTTAACATTTGTTGAAGTAACTATTTTGACAATTGAGTAGGTGTTTGCGGATTGCAAATCTTCACTGATCTCTTCAAGAATTTTTCCCCATAACGTAATGTCAATTGTTTCTCTAAAATTAATATTGGTGTGAGCTATTTAAAGTGGAAGAAGAACGTAAAAACATTAACAAAAGAACTTATTGTGCCATCTGCAATCTGATATCTCTTTTTTTAGTCTTTATTGATTTGATTTCTTCAATTTCTCCTATTGCAAAAAAAACTCCAATGATATCTACATATAATTTATTATATTTGATGTACCAAGATATTTCTTATGCATTTAAAATACAAATATTCAAATTCATTATACCTGATAAAAACCTTGTATCATTTGTTCTAGTCTGATGATCATGAAGACCAACAAATTCAAATTTATATCTTGGAATAACAATTCTCGGTTCTTTTATTTCTTGCACAATCATGATCGTGAGAAATTGTATACGGTATATACCGTCAACAGGTTTGTAAGAAGGAGCAGACGGTGTGACTTTTATATGTCTGATCAAATATATCGACCCTTCATGAAGTTGAATTTTAAACTTCGAAATCCTATTTTTTTGGTATCGAGCCATGAATAACTTGATTCTAAAAAACCAATGAAAATCACAAATTTGAACAAACCTGTATAAATCAGAAATAAAAGTCTTAACATTATTTTCATAATACATTTTATACTTGTTGATCAATCAAAATCATGTAAAGGTCATAAGTGTGTCACTGTAAAGCCCCTCCCTAGCCGGGTATTTTCTAAGTATCCCTTAGCCATTGAGAACCTAGAAAACGCACGCCTAGGAAATAAGTTTATTTTAAAATCCTGTTTAAAGAATAAACCTGTAGTTTAAAAATATATTTTTTATAATTTAATTTCTAAACTATAATAAGTTCATTGTACAAGTAAAAAAATATAGTTTCCTTTCTTGGAGTAAATTATGAAATCCATAGTAATACTTACTAGACCATACGCACTCTTACAAAATTTACTAGCAATTTGATTTCCTTATTAACACAACATATTTACTCCATTATAGAACATGGACATATTTACTACATATGAAATATGAACACAATTACTACACCAAATACTAGCAAAACCATTCAATAGTCATCATTAAAACATCCCTTCATGCTCATAGCGTCCCTCGGAATCCTCTCCCAGCTTCATGCCTTAATCCTTGCCTGCAAAACATTTTTAAAACATTTCATGGGGTGAGCGCTAATCGCTCAAAAAAGGAATATGGCCATTTATAAACTATTAAGGTTCATTATACAAGTATATTACTTAGGACCTTACCTACCTACAAAACATGACCTTCATTCTTTGACAAAACAAGTTCATAAAACATATCATACACTTTGGACTTTTCTCATAAACATAAGTCATAACATAACCATACATAATATAACATAGAACATATATGACTTATGAAATATTCATATACATTGCATGCTTATTTCTTTTGTCTTTATACTTGATGTTTTCATTAATCTTTGTTATTCAATCGGTTTCATTTGAACCATTACCTGTTCTGGTCGTCACCTCAAAGGACTTATGGTTTCATAAGAATTTCATTCCTCTGTCTTGGTTTATACACTCAAGAGACTCATGGATAATCTTTAACATTTCATAAAATGTTCATAAGTCAACTAATAAGTATTGCCTTACCATTATGAATGCAAAACATATGGACTACATCTCCCATGCTCCATCATACTATTCATTCATTTAACATATACCCTTGGCCAATTGCACAACTCATCAATCAATTTAGCAAAACTCTAGACATGAATATTTCCTACTAAATTCCTTAACTTAATTCATTCAATTCTCATACAATACAAGGAATTGCAATAGTAATATTATTCAGGGATATTAGAATTAAAAACAAATGGGAATTTCCATTAAGAAGGTGGATGCCATATAGTTCGTCACTTTCAAGCAACTTTTCCCTATCTTCTGATTCGAATTGTTTTTTGCTAAAACATAAAAGTTTTAGGTTTATTTATCAAATTTGAATACTTCAAGAATCAACTCAATCGGACTTCTATAACTTCAGTTATGACCAATTCAGTGAAGCATGTACAGTATAAGTCTTAAAAAGCCAAATCGAATTCTATTCATTTTAACCATGTCACCTTCATTTTCACATTCATATCATTACCATATCATTCTAAGTATAAAAGGCCATAAAAACCTCCTTTTTTATAGAACCAAAAGTGCCAAAACTCATCCACTACAAATCTCTAATTGGCATAATCATCCTCCATATGCACACATACACCAATCAACACACCCATTTAAACAATCCATAACCAAAACATACCATCATACTCATATTAACATAATAATGTGTTCACAAACCCTAGGTATTATCAATTGTAGTCATAAGGAGATTTTTTCCTTACCTTAGTATTCAAAGCACAAAGACATCCTCCTTAGCTCTAAGGTACCATTTCTACCTTATACACATAACCACTTAAGAATTTCTCTTTTAACTAAAAGATCAGAACAAATAGGTTTTGAAACTCACCTAAACCCTGAAATTGAAGTTCGTTAAGTGTGGATGGGATCCTTTGAAAATCAACTCGAAATCTATGAAAATTTGAGAATAATGCTTGGATTAGTGGCTTTTATGGTGGATTGAGAGATGAAGAAGAAGATAATGCATTTGGGGTGGCTCCTCTCTCTTAAAACCTGTAAATATTTTTTCCATTGGTACTCTATTACTGGTCAATAAAAGTTAGATGTAAGGGTCATTGGCATAAATTTTCATTATAGGGCGTTTTGGTCATTCTACCACAACATAAAGATTAGCACTCATTAATGCCATTTGACTTCTTTAAAAACACTTAACAATTAAGCAACCATTAGGTGAAATGAATAATTACCGTGGTGCACTTTTATGGTACTTAATTCATATGGATTTGTATGAAAAGACCATTATACCCTTGGTTAATGTTTATGCCATGTAACCATATCAATCAACTTTATGACCATTCTACCCTCATTTCTCTTCAATGACATCTCCCCTTACACTTTATAATGGCCACATCTCGAAATACATGTAAATTGACCATTTTACCCTTCCATTCAAAAAAAGAAAATTACTTGAAAAGGTAAATTTCATACCTTAGGGCATCGGAATAATAACGCGGGGTTTACAGTCACCCATTTTGAAATTCCTACATTCCCACTATCTAGATACTCTGACAGTGACTATCCAATCATCTCTTGATTCATCAATATTTTGAAGTGAATTATTAGACGTTGTTATGACTTGGCATGTAAAAAGAAATTCATCTTTAGTACAATTCAATAAAAGCAATAATGATTCCCAACCAAGATTTTACAACTAAAGTAGATGTCGGTGTATCACGATTATAAATAAATAAATAAATAAAATAACGTTTCAATTTTATAGTCTAATTTATAGTATAAATATTTCTTATTATAGTTTAATAGTATGCGGAATTTTTTGTTCGGTACTGAAATTTTAAACTCCAAGAAGAACTTACGAATTTACAATTGTCACTATAATATTGTTCATCAATTTCTTTATTACAACTCTATAATATAATTATACGCAAATTAATAGCTTTTGTAGGCAAATTCATTGTTCAACATATATAGTATTACAATAGAAAGGTAAAAACAATTAAAGGTATCACATTACCTATAACATGAACTATATTTCAACTATACCAGCAATTTGTTTTTTTTTTTTTTTAGCTGAGTATACCTACACCAGGATGCAATAAAAAATATATTTATAATAAGAGCACAATAGTCAAACACATTTAACAATTATCTAACCATGTACTTTCAAGTACCTTTAGTTATTTCTCTTAATCCAATACGACAACATAAACAACTACATATATATAACAAACACATTAATTTCAAGAGTTTTGTATAAAACCTTTCACATTCAGATAGATACTCCTCACAATTCACATTAATTTCGCATTAAGAATAATACATAGCAAATACAATGTATCGATCCCTTTCAGATAAATATCTATCCACAAAATTGCATCAACTTCAATAACACTTCATAAACAACATAACAATAATAAAAAAATTAAATAATGACTGATCAAACACCATGAAAATATCCAAGAAGGTGAAGCGAAAACAAATATATAACAATCCCGTTACATTAACATAAATATCTGCTTTTATGAATTCCATTAATACCGTATAAATGTCGACATAAATAGTACCATTTACTTTAGTAACACTTTAACAAAAGCACTACATTAAGAACAACATTAAATATCAGAATACCAAACATCATCAAAATATTGAACACATCAATCAAAAAGTAAGTACATTAACCCATAATTAAACCAAAATTCTAATGTCTTGACCATTAATAGTAATCTCACATTAAAAGTATCACAAAACAGTACAATGCACTGATCAATTTTAGATAAATATATATCTATAAACATTTGCAATGTTAACACAATGCATCTATATAATTATTAATAGCAATCCTACGTAG